GAGTGGGGTCGCACACAGCGGCTGTGCTCACCTTGGGGAGGGGGCTCTCGGGATTCTCAGCTCTCGCGCACGCCCTCTTCTGCCCGCACAGTGACGCACGTCCCCTGGGGTCCGTGGTTCTTTCTGTCCTGTCTTGGAATCTGAGACACGCGCCTTCACCTCTGACCTCCAAAGGGCCTCTCTGCATTCACCACCTTCCCCTGAAGCAGTGTCCCCCCCTGCACCTCCCTTATTGTAAGTGGTTGATCAGGACTGTCTGCAGTGCTTCTGCAGTGAGCGCGGCTCCCGCCTTCCCGGCAGGGCTTCTCCTCTGTGTGCACTGACTCTTGGCCTTGGTCTCCATGTGGCGGCCGGAGGCCAGGCTGCAGGCCATAGCTCGCTGGGGTCCTAGTTGATTTCCTGTGGAGGTTCTCTCGAGCTTGGCTGTGCCAAAGGGGTGGGCTTGCATGGTGTGATTGGTTCTCCCCGTTGCTCTGGATGACAGCAATGATTTGGGGTGGGAAAGCTGGGGGTTGGGTTAGCCCGGCTATCATCACTTGCTGCCCCAACCCCATTTCTTGAGTAGTGTCTACCTCCAAGGTGTGGGGTTCAGAGGGCTCAGTCCGCAGGGAGACACGCCACCAGCACTGCCTGTACCTTGGCATGCCAGGGCTCTGTCTACTATGTCTGCTGTCCTCCTAGCCACTGTCACAGGGAGCAGAGCCAGGGCTGGGGTGCACTGGGCCCTGCCTTAGGTGGGTTCACTACCAGAAGAGCCTGATGTCGGGGACACAGGCACACCTGGTTTGGACGTTGTGGGGCCTGGATTCGAGGGTGCAGGGGTGGGAGTCGGGAAGGAGAGGCTGGGGCCCAGAGACTGGTGCTGTGGAGGGAGGGAGGGGTGGCGTGCAAAAAGGGAGATGGGGGTTAGTGGCGCATGGGGTCAGCCAGGGTCCTGCCCATGGACCTGGGTCCCTGACAGAGGGTCGCTGGGCCTCGGCTGGGCGGCTGGGCATGGAGCCCCTGAGACCCCCTTCTGGCTGGCAGGGTTGTGGAGCACCTCAACAGCCTCTCCCGGGAAGTCAACCTGGACTACAGGCGCAGCATGAACAAGATCACTTTCGACACGATCGTCTCCTCCAAACCCGACACCTTCTCCTACGTGACTCTGCCCAAGAAGGAGGAGGAGAAGGTGCCCAAGAAAGGTGAGGGTCGGCAGGCAGCATGGTTCCCGAGGCCCCCCACCCAATCCAGGTGCTGGCACTGGGATTCCCACCCTCACCCATGCCTGCCTGGACACCCGGAGAAGGCCTTTAGGAGAGAGGAGGCTGAGCTAGGTGCGCTAGAAAAGTGATGGTTCAAAAGAAGATGGATGAACTGACCATTGGACCAGGGGCGGGGGAGGAGGCGGGCAGTGCAGGCATGAGCCACCCCCACCCACCCCCAAAAAACAAGGATGGATTTGGCGTGGTGGCAGCCCCCCATGACCTGACAGTCTCAGGGCAGGGCTCTGGGCTGCGCTCAATGGTGCCCACCCACTGGGACTGCTCCCTGGACACAGCCTGTGCGGAACATCAGATGGGCCACGCGTGCCGGGAAGCAGAAGATGCCCTGCACAGTGTCCACGTCTTCCTTTCTTGGTGCTCCAGGGCAGATGGGCTCCAACTTCTCACCCACCCCTCTCAAGTGGCTAAGACCCCGAGGGGGTGGCAGGGGACCCCCTTTATCCACCCCAGGGCAGGTCCCGGAATAGGGAAGAAGGTGCTGGGCACATGGGTGTCTCTCCCAGTGCCCTTCCGGCCCTGACCCCAGCCCACCCTGCCCCAAAGGGCGGGTGTCTGTCCCCAAGTACCCGTTCCGGGAGCAGCAGGAGGACTTCACCTTCGTGTCTCTACTCACACGGCCGGAGGTCATCACGGCCCTCAGCAAGGTGCGGGCCGAGTGCAACAAGCTGACCACCATGTCCCTGTTCCACTCGGCCCTCTCCAAGTACAGCCGCCTGGAGGAGTTTGAGCAGATCCAGTCGCAGGCCTTCTCCCAGGTGCCCGGCTTCAGGGCTTGTCGGGGGGCAGGGGACGCTGGCAGGTCATGGCCCCTGGGGTGGGGGTGGGGGGACAGAAGCAGGAGCCCCTGCTTACTGACACTGGCCCCGAGGGGAGCTGGAGTGGGGCCTGCCAACGACAGTTCATCTTGAAGGAAAAGGGTAGGACCCCATGGATGTACATACCCAGCGTGAGGGGGGGAGGGGAGCAGGGACTGACACCAGACAGACAGATGGCCCAGGAGACAAGCTCCCTCCCTCCTGGTGGCCTGCCGACCAGCATGCCTGTCG